TACTTCAATGTTGGTTTTAATTTGGATTTCAGTTATGATAGACATGTGGAACTAATTTCGTTTTAGCTAGAGGTGAATTCAAAGCCATGAACATATGTGTGATATGAATTGATTACATCCAGTTATTGTTTCATAAATCGTGAATGCAGTTTACTTATCTGTTTGATTGATAACTTATTCTTTTATGTTAATTAAGGAGGCCTACTTAGTTTGCATGCATGAATTTGATGCTAGAATATAAGGGAATTTCACCTAATAGTTATGAACTTATATTTATAAGTAGTGGAAATCACTAGTCATGATTGTGTTAAGTAAATTCCTGGCAAGAGTATCATGCTTTTCATAGTTACGAATGCCATGTCAATGCTTATGATTTTCTTAGAACTTAATGATCTTTGATATGTATCTCTATCATGCAGTCCATATAGGGAACTTGATAAGAATAATTTAATTGCGTTGCTGAGTCCAATTCAATGAATTTAGGAAAATCTTATGGTTAATTTGTGCAGTTCACGGTTAACTTAGGGTATTGTCATTCATGGTTTATAGGAATAATAACTAGAAATCGATTTGTGTTGCATATGTGTCATGTGTGAAGAAGGACCCTCTAGCTAGCCTTTTACCCCCTTCATTCACCCCAATTTAGTATCAATTATTTTGTTTTTTGCAAGTTACTTTGTTTTAGTTTTAAATTTCATCCAAGCCAAACCCCCCGCCATTATGTCATGTTAGTTTAGTTTTAAAATTCGTTCAAACCCGTCCCCTGTTAGTATTTTGAGTCAAGTTAAGTCCAGAATTCATCCAAATCACCCTTTAGTTCCTGTTTCGAGTCAATGAGTCAATTTGTTTGTTTTACGCTGTTTTAAGTCAGTTTTGAGTCATTAGAATCTAGTTTTGTGTTTAAGTCAATTTGTGTTGATTAGCATCCCTTCTAATCCCCGGCCTAGAACGATCCCTACTTACATATACTACAATTGTCTAAAAAGGGTTTAATTTGTGTGTTAGTTTTTACCGCATCATTATGCAAAAGGAGCAGGGCAACACCAGCCTCTGTGGTGACATGAACACCACATCTACCCCCGCTCCATCTGATCATGCTGACCCGTCAAAGAACATCGTCCGTGCAGGGAAGAGAACGACATAGAACACTTCTTCGTCTGGCAGGTCATCTAAAATTTCCCAATCAGCCGAAATTGATGTGATAAATAATAGCACTCAAATTAAACCCTCTTTTTGACAATTGTAGTAAAGATATACGTAGGGATCGTTCTAGGCCAGGGATTAGGAGGGATTGCTAATCTAATGAAAACTAACTCAAAGATACAAAAATATGCTTAAAAACACTTAAACAAACTCAAAGACTCTTAACTAAACTTATATGACTCAAAACAAACTCAAAAGACTCAAAACAACACAAAACAATCAAATAGACTCAAACTAGACTCTAGGACTTAATTTGGACGAAAATAGAAATGGTTTTGACTCAAAACACGTAAAAACACACAATAGGACAGATTTGACACAACAAAGTAAAGGGGATTGGGATTTTGACGAATTTAAGATAAAAACAAGTAACTAAAAGACTTAAACAAGGAACACAAATTGATTTCCAGTTGCTTTTTCGATAAACTATGAACCTCAACACCCCAGATTAACCATGACATCGCTAATTAACCCTCAGATTCTCCTTTAGTTATTGGATTGGATGACATCATTCGACAACCCAAAGCATTCTTCAAAAGTTCCCTACATGACATCATAATAGAGATACAATCAAAGATCATTACGTTCAATGGAAATCATAAGTATTGACAAAGCATTCGTAACTATGACATCATGATACTCATGCTAGGAATTTACTTAACATGATTGTGAAAACAACCTTAACTACTTGTGAATATAAGTTTATAACGATTATATGAGACTCCCTTATATTCTAGCACCAAATTCAAGCATGCAAATTAAGTAGGCCTCCCTAATCAACATACAAGAATGAGTTATCCATCAAACGGTTAATCAATTCATATTGCAAACATAATCATGGTTTCAAAGCCTCCCCTAGCTAAAACGGGTTTAGCCCCTCATGTTCACAACAAAACAAAGAAAACTTGAATTAAACATTGAAAACAAAAGATAGATTACACCTAAAAATGTTCCAACACTCCAACTTGAATGCAAAACGTCCAAGCCTTCTTCTTCTCTTCTTCTTCCTTGCTATGCTGCGGCACAAGGGGTTTAGGGGTGATTTTGGATGTATTTCTAGGTTAGGAATGGATTTAGGTTGGTAGGGGAGTGCGGCAAGGGATAGGAATGGTGTATGGATGTTTGGTTGAAGGTATGAAAGTATGGGAGTGGTGGAGAATGGATGAATAGCTGCGGCAAAGGGTGGTGGATTGTGTGAAGGATGGCAGATTGTGTGAGTGAGTGAATAGGGTTCTCAATGGGTGCGGCAAAGGCTATTTCTTTGAGGGAAAGGATCTTAACTCTTATTACATAGTTTAGGAAAGATTTAGACCCCAATTCCATAAGGAAAAGGAGACTTAAAATCAAAAATCCAAAGGGAAAAAGGGAAGGAATATGCGGCAAGCAAGGATAGGAAAAGTAATGTGATTTAAGGCTGAAATTAGGCAAGGATTTATGATAGACTAGGGATGTAAGGTGCGGCATTAACTAAGGTGAAAGAGGAATGTGATCTTGTGACACAAAATAGGGAATAAGCACTCCCCTTGCACGACAAGGAAAGGGCAGGTTTAGGCAAGGCACGGCAAGGGCAATAAGGGTGCAAGGAAGGTTTAGTTTGTGTCCTAAAATGCATAAGAGTCCTCAATGTTGCTGGAACTTAGGGGCTTTTAGGATTAGGAAAGGTCAAACCAAAATAGGAAACCTTGGCTTAACTTTCCTACTTCAAGTAGGAAACCTTCTTTGACTAGGAATCCTTCTTTGATTAGGAATCCTTCTTTGATTAGGAATCCTTCCAAGCATATGCTATCCATTCCAAGTCCAATTTTGCTCCAAAAGGCTCCAAAATGCACCTTTTTGCTACTTTAGCCATATAGACCTACAAACACACGAAAATAGCTTAAAATACTAAAATAACTATGAACGAACAACATAATTGTAAGAAAACAAGCTAACTAAGTTGCCTAAATATGCTCCTATCAGAAATCAAGTGGTCTACTAAGAAGTCTGCTAGAGCTTGTCCTTTGATGGCCTTTGCTGGGATGTAAATGACCTCATATTGATTAAGAAGCAACGCCCATTTGACCAATCGCCCTGTCAAGACTGGCTTCGACATGACATACTTAACGGGGTCGGCCAATGCGATTAGGTGTATGGTGTATGCATGCATGTAATGCCTTAGTTTTTGGATGGCGAATACAAGAGCAAGACACATATTATCCATAGAGGAGTAGTTTAGTTCGGTACCAGTGAAAGTCCGACTAAGGTAGTAGAGTGCTCTTTCCTTCTGGATTCATTCTCTTGTTTATGACAATAACACTTGAGTCACTTACAAAAGCTTGACATTACATATACTTCAAAGAATACGCAAAATGTACATGAAAATGAGTAGTAAATATATAAAAAGGAATATTTTGTCCTAAGGACCCTTGGGTGGCTTGTGAGCCGCTTGTACATTTGTGCTCCTTGTAATCACCACCATCTTTTATGATGTCCTCCACGTGCAAGGGAAAAATGTGGCCCAATCATATCTCTTGCAGTTACGATGGAGATACAAACAAAATTTCTCAAACCCATCAAAGAAAGCAGAGACACTCTTGTTGGAGCTGCTTTGTCGTTTAGGACTAGTTCATCATACGCTTTCGGCTATGTATTTGGCGTTTGTACTTGGCAGATTTGTACGACACCTTGTTCAGCTTTTGTTGTAACGCAACCAATGTGGTCTCATGTTCGTGACACAATTGATGCCACACAGTTATAGACCATGAGTAATTTTTGAAAGCTTGTGCAATTTGATCGATCGGATTATCAGAATCAGCCTCACTCCATAAAAAATCTATGGTTTCCATGGTTGCGAAGTAAGTGTTTGGACCTGTATTGTGCTTGGCTTGTATTTATAATAGATGAATTTGGATGTCATTAGATTATCTACACCAACAAAAATCTGCATGGACATGACAGATATATGACAGTCTGTTGTAGGTATATTCAGTTCATATACAGTTTACAACCAGTTGGTTCCAAATTTCGACGAAATCCTTAGCCTTTTTCTACAACTACATTAAGGTTGTGCTGTGGTTGCTAGAAATTATTCAGTTTGTAATGGGGTGTGACATTTGACGATTTTGGTTGTGTGTTGATTTATGAGTAGTTATGAATATTTGTGTCTGGTCTACTGCAGTCTTGTTAGTTAGGTCTTTCCAGAAGCACAAAATCAATTTTCATAGTCACCACTGACACAAAATCTGACAAGTACACAAAAACATGTCACCACTCTCACAAGCAATCTTAAACATTGTTTGAACATTTGAGAACCAAAAACTATGTTATCATCCAACAACCACATCAAATGTTAAAGACATTCTACACACATTTGTGTTCCAAAAAACATGTACTTATCCCACTCCCGCATCCAATCTTACAGACATTCTACAAAGAATTGAGAACCGAAAAACATGTACTAATCAAACTTCCTCGTTGGTGAGCTTGGAAAGTAACTTTGGGATTGGTTGCTGGATTTGGATAGGGAAGGAAGTTTCAAGTGCCAGAAGGAACCTGGGAAGCTTTCACACGATTAACCTCCTCAAAGAAACGCTTGCTCGTTTTCTTTTAAATAAAAAGAAAAACAAAATATAACCACTTGCACTAATTCTTTTAAATGGCATTTTTTGTGCCAACCGTGCCAAAGAAAAGTAACCTGGAACGTCCGGCTAGGTCGAGACCATGCACAATCACGTTGCCCCTATACTAGATTTTGCAGAGTTATATTTTCCATTACAAAGCATACCGCCCGACAGCCCATCAATAATACACAAGTCGAAGAAAGCAAACAATATTCAGTGAAATATATATCCACCTTAGTTTCCAAAAAAAAAATATATATATATATATCCACCTCAAAACCCAACCCCCGAGTCAACTTATGACAAACAAAATAAGACACCGCGATAGTTCCTGCAACATACAGCACTCAGCAATGACACGAAACTGGTCAAAATCAATCCTACACATCCAATCTCATACACGAAAAGTAAAACAAGAAAATATATATAGAAGTTTACGATGAAATGAGCAGCAGGCAGTTGAAAGCTGTGTTTCAAGGATGCAAAAATTCCAGCAGAAGGAAATTTCACCGGGGCTTTTTCCTTCAAGACTCCGGAGCCGGTGCTGGTGGCTTCAGAAGCGGTTGAAGAGCCTTCACAACAATGCTCATATTTGGCCGGAACTCGGCTTCATATTGCACACACAATGCTGCAACAGCTGCCAGCTGCATCAACAAAACAAAAACTGCACATTCAGTCGCTAATTCTATAAATAAGCAAAAAGCCAAAAAAAACCGAGCACACCACTAAACATGTAAGATGCATTCGGGCAGGCAGGTGGAGCGTGCATATGGTTGTGGGAATGTGTGTGCTTAGAGAGAGTTTGTGTGTAGGCGTATATGGACGTGGGGAGGAACGAAGGATACAGAGAGCGTGCGTGCTCAGAGAAGAGGGAGAGAGAAACCTTAGCGACCCCCTTAGGAGGATACTCCTTTAGCTTTGGATCAACACATTGTTTAACTTTGTCTTCGCTCAATCTTGGAGTAGCCTAAAGAAAAAAAGGGTAAATGTCAGGTAAAATTAAGTCCAACAGAGAATTGGTAGAGCATCAAAGGAAATGTTGTTCGAAGAAAAGCAAGTATATAGACTCGCCCAAGTAACAAGACTCTGCTGTCCACGAGGCATTGTATGATCAACAGGTTTCCTCCCAGTCAGCAGTTCTAGTAGAACCACTCCAAAGCTGTACACGTCACTCTTCTGTGTCAATTGACCAGTCATTGCATACCTGCGGAATAGTTTTGCTAATTCAAATTAATTTTGATCTATTAACTATTTACACTTCACAAAGACTGAAAAAGAAAACTGAAGTAAATGATATAGGGATGATTCGAAATAGGATACATTATTAAAGGTGCTTCTGCAAGAAGAAAAAAAGCCAATTTCTTGAGCAAGCAATTACTTGACTGATGCGTCTGATATAATAAATATAAGATATTCAACTACCTAAACTACTCCTCAATAATAACATGATCCAATGAGAGCAACTATGATCATATGCATTTGAGTCATGGACATGTCTCTACCAGTTTGGATCTGGCACAGTTCCCGTCGAACACAATCCTATACTAATTAAAGATTATAGTATATTCATCCAAACTGCCACTTATTGTGGTGACAAAGGTTATCTGAAAAGTTCTTATTTCATCTCTTTAGTTGTGAACTGCTTGTCCATATATAGCACTTTCCTTTTCTTTGATTAAACTTAACTTCTTCTCAAGAAAACAAGAGAGAAAATAATATTAAGAGGAAGGAGTGCTTTCAGATAAAAGTGAAGGAGCAGTCGACCAAACTAAAATGCACTCATAACAGCATGCTGCGAAAACTTGAAAACAAAGACTGAAACAACAAACCCAACAAAAGGAAAAAGCAAGGGACCATAAATTATATGAAAATAACCATATAATTGTGAAGGTTTCAGAGCCATACTCTGGGGCATGATAACCAAATGTTCCCAAAACTCGAGTAGAATGAAGACGAGCAGCCATATCAGGAGCCTGATTTGACAGATTAAAATCTGCTATCTTGGCTTTAAAATCTTCAAAGAGAAGCACATTGCTAGATCTTATATCTCTGTGTATGATAGCAGGTTGAACCTTCTCGTGTAAGTATTCTAACCCCCTAGCTGCATCAACTGCAATTTTTACCCGCTGCATCCAGTCTAGTGTAGGGCCAGGTTGAGCCCCTTGAACTCCCTTTCTACCTATAATTGCACTTACATTCAAATTAATGTATTCTAGTTTCTACAAGAAAAATTCAAATCAAGTGAAGATGAATTATAAATTAAAAAGGCAAGATGGTTTTACAAACCATGTAATATGTCGTGTAGAGATCCCATGGTTGCAAACTCATAAGCCAAAACACGCAGACTTCCATCAACGCAGTAACCAAGCAACTCAACAAGATTTTCGTGCTTCAGTCTTGAAACCATGGAAACCTTTAGTAAAATATGTCAAGATGCAGTTAGATACAGTAAGAAACAACAAGTCACATATCACATAACTAAATTGCGATACAAGTATACTTCAAATGATAGAGTTGCAGACAGACCTGGGTCAAAAACTCAACATTTGTCTCAGGTTCAGAGGCAACATCAAGCTTCTTCACGGCCACAGCTTTACCATCATTCAAGCTTGCATAATATACTCTCCCATACGAACCTTCACCGATCAATGATTTGGATCCAAAATTGTCAGTCTTCTCTTTTAGCTCCTCCACAGATAATTGAGGCACTTCAATAGGTGGAGCAGCCTTCTGTACTTCAGATTTTACAGGAGCTGACACCTTAGATCCCTTTTGGTTCCCTAAACATGCATGAATGATGAAGAAAAGTAAGTGAAAAGTTAAAGGAAACACACAAAACAAGAAAGAAAATGAAAGATTCCGAATGATCCACTAATATTTAAATAACGAAAGAAATAAGTTAAGGACCCTACAAACTAGTAAAAACTTTGAACAATTACGGAAATTAATAGAAATCAAGTTGCAATATTTTTCTAAAGATAACCATATGTTTTATAAGGCATGTCCTTCTATTGAATTTTTTTCAGTAATTCAACAGTAGCTTCAAAATTAAACTACAAATAATAATAAAATACGTTCATACTCTTTCTTTAACTCATGCTCATGCATATGTTAGACCATTATAAAAGATAATAGAAAACAAGTTATATAAAATAGAAATAGAAAAGAATCATATGTTAAATAAAGAGACCCTTCCATTTGTTCCATTACTTTCCTAGCAGTTAAAAAAACAATTAAAATATTGAACTTATTTCAAAAATTTCTAAATAGAAAAATTTCTCATACAAGAAGATATTCGAAGGATCCATCTTAAAATGGAACATCAATAACTCCTCAGATTCTCCTTCACGAAGCTAGTTAAATAAGGGCCCCTTTGGAAATGCTTCTCTAGACTGCACTCCTGTAAGTGCTTTTACTGAAAGAGCTTTTATTAGATACCCATTGAATTTTTAATAAAAAACCATGGTTCTTTTGTAATCAAAAGCAGTTTTAGCCATCCTAAGAACACTTATAAACAGGCCCCAAAACTTGCTTGACGAGGAAAAATCCACAGATACACCTGAATGGACAGGCATGCAAGACACTTATCCAATATACCTTTAGGTGATCTGTAACAGCTTCACAAGCTTCATTTAATCCATGATATTATATCTGCCTACTTATGCTCGAAAGCTGAGATCCATAGAACAAAAATTTCTGTTTGGAGTTAAATTCATAACTGAGTGTGTTCAGAAACTGGTGACAAATATGGATCGTGGTAGAAATGCCTGACGTGGCAAAGGTCATATAATAAACGTGGCAATGGAATAGTGACGTTTTCAAGAATGTTGTTGTCACTGGCATAATGGCAGTTGCCTAATGGAAGCGGAGAGTAAATTAAGAAAATGACATCCCAAGGAATTACCTTGAACTTAAAATTTAGAACTTTAACCATGATTCTAAATCACTAGAAACTTCAAGAACTAAAACCTTAGGTCACTAAAATGATTTCCTTTTTTAAATTACATGCAAATCTGCTTATGGAAAGTCAGAAAATGTACCATCTGCATAGTGCTTTGGGCTCTTCAGGTGTTCATTTTCGTTTGATGGATAAGACTCTTCGACGTGACAAGTACAACAGAGCCACCTGCGCATCCTGACTTTCTTCCTCAAGTATAAATCGTCCTCAGCACTTGTATCCTCCAATCGTACAAAGTAACCAGGGGGGGGAGCATGTGCCTGCATTGTGCCACAGTAATATGAGTGGATTCAGCATCATCACATAGTAATTACAATCTAAAATGAGAAAAAGCTCTCATAATTGAAACATTTCTGTTGGCATCATAGTGAAGTGTTAAAGGAGAGATTACAACAAAGATTATAAAGCAGTTCCAGCCATCTTAGGCTTTTGCTTATGGGTTTCACTATGTCTCCTATTAAACAAGTCAACCCAAGCGCCAATGAAGTTTAAGACTACATAGACCCACACAATTGGGTAAAGTAAGAGGCAATTTGTCACAGCCGTTACAGAAATAAAATTTTCCTTTTTTTCATTTTTTTTTTTAACAGGAGAAACTTATAATTCTATGAAGGAACATTAATGCTTACCAAAATATCACAAAAAAAAAAGTTGTTGGAATTAAAATCAGAAGGAGACAAATACAAGTGATGGAAACATTTAATCAGCACACAAAAAAATAGCATTCAGAACCAAAATGTTAAGACTTTAAAGTAGCAGACACAAGAATGAAGATATTGATCATTAAGAAAATGAACACTTCATTGCATTTGCACATAAACTAGAGCTATTATATAAGCATGCAATTCCAATGCACGATCAAATGATATATAAACATTCAAAATAGCAACAATCAATTGAATTGAAAGAACATCAACAATAACGAGAAATCAAATCCAATTCATCTTTAAATTAAACACAAACCAACACAATTAGGAATTGTACCTCGCATCATCAATCAAACAAAATAAAAGCAACCCATTAATCTTACCACCAAACCACGGCGAATGCAATCAGCAGCGTCCATTAAGATTAAAACACAAAATTCAAAATTTAACGATCAAACCAAAATCAATCGATTGCAGAACAAAAACCAGAAACCCAGAAATGATTCAATCCCAATTCTCCAAATTAACCAAAGAACCTCAGAATTGACAAACCGATTCAATACAAGAACAATTACAAAAAAAGGAATTGAAATGAATCGAGCTGTGGGATTTGGAAACTTGGGATAGGTAGAATTGGGGATGAAATTTAGATTAGGAAATCAAACTTAGCACACAGATCGAAATGGTATTCACAGGCAATAAAGAACAATGCAAAGACAAGAGAAATTAAAAATATATACGGATGAAAACGACTACCTCTTGCTTCGCTTTCTCTCTCTCTATATATCTCTCTCTGCTGCGATTCTCTCTCTCCTACCTCTTTTAGGGTTTGTGAGGGTAAAGTGGACAGGTAGGATTTGAAAGGGGCTTAGGCTGTTGCTTTCGGGAGGGTGGGATACTTGAGAGGTTGGGTTCGTTTTTTGAGTCGTTGTTGAGAGAGAGAGAGAGAGAGAAATAAGAGAGAGAGAGAGAGAGAGAAGGAAAGACAGAGAGGCAACGCGGGGTGGCCGACTGGCGAGGCAAATCAACAAATTGGCGACGGACAGGGAGATCATAGGTATCCTCCCATCCTATTTTCTTTCATTTATTTCTGGTAAATTTTGTCCCCGCTTTCTCTCTCTCTCCCCCTCTCCGTCTGAGTTAGTTTGTTTCGTTTTCCCTCTCTAGTAACATACTGATAATGTAGTAGAAACTACCACACAAATTAAACCCTTTTAATGCAATTGTAGTATTAACAAATAAGGATGGTTCTATCCGGGGATTAGAAGGGATGCTAATCAATACAAACTGGACTAAAAAACTGTAAACTAGGCGAAACTAACACAAATAAGAACTAAGGGGGGGTTTTAGACAAATCTTGCACTAAAACAACTAAATTGCAGAAACAAAGTGAATTTGGATTAAAATGGGGTGAAAGGCTAGCTAGAAGATTCTTCTCCACACATGAAACATATGCATGCAAATCGATTTCCAGTTATTATTCCTATAAACCATGAATGACAATGCTCCAAATTATTCGTGAACACTAATTAACTCTCAGACTTTCGTAATTTCATTGAATTGGACTCGGCGACGCAATCAAATTATTCTTATCAAGTTCCCTATATGAATAACATGGTAGAAATACATATCAAAGATCATTAAGTTCTGTGAAAATCATAAGCATTTACAAGGCATTCATAACTATGAACTGCATAATACTCCTGCCAGAAATTTACTTAACCCAATCATGACTAGTGACTTTTACTATTTGTGAATATAAGTTCATAACGATTAGGTGAAATTCCCTTATATTCTAACATCAAATCCCTGCATGCAAACTAAGTGTGCACCCTTAATCAACACACAAGAACAAGTTCTTAATAAAACAGACAAGTAAATCGCATTCATTTTTTATGAAACAATAACTGGATGTAATCAATTCATTAAAAACATATGTTCATGGCTTCGAATTCACCTCTAGCTAAAAAGGAATTTAGTTACACATGTTCGTCATAACTAAATAAAAACAATCTAATTTATACATTGAAACTAAAACTAAGGATAGAAAGAACCCAGAAAAGCTCTAGCAATAGCAAATTCAGCACCCCCTCTCCTAGATTGCAGATTTGGCTCCTCCTCTCCTCCCAAGGCTGCGACACACCTCTATTTCTCTCTATTTTTTTCTGTCCTTTTTTTTTCCCTGAAAGCTGCGGCAATAACTTGTATTATAGGGCTAGGGCACGGCCTACTTTGTGGTGGAAAAGGATTGAGTTGTTTGCAGTGTTTTAGGACTCCTTAAATCAGATTAGAAGTGGTTGAATGTGATAAGGAATCCCCCTTACAACTGGAGATAAGGTAAGATAGAATAAGGATAGGATAGGATTAGATAAGGTTTGTTAAGGATAAGGTTGGATAGGGTTTCCCTTTAATTTCTAATTCCTTGTCTCCCAAGCCTCACTCTTAATTTCTCCCGATTGTAGCACATTTCGAGCATTATTTAAACACCAAAAACGTCCATCCAAAGTGCTCCCTATGCATGTTATCCAATCCAAGTCCAAAATTGCTTCAAATTGTTCCATTTAGCCATTTATTGTCATCTTTGCCAATTGGACTAAAAACACACGAAAATAGCTTAAATCACTATAATAAATAGAAATTAAAATGCAATGAAACAAACTAACAAAGTCACATAAATATGCTCCTATCACATACACAAATAGATCTTTGGTTTTCAGGAAAACTAATGAAAAAAACTTGAAAGCTTTGAGTTTTAATCAAAATGACAAAACGATGTTGTAAGTGAATAGTACCATGAGTGACTTTTTAGAGTAAAAATATTTTTTTCGTTAAAAGTGAACAGTACCATGAGTATTTCGTTAAAATTCTCTATTTTTTATTTGGCTTTTTAGCCAAAATTGTCTCTAAAATTTGTATAATTCTTTAATTTGGTCCATGAGATTTGAAATAGATAGAATTGGTCCTTGAGTTTGTCCACAATCAATCATTTTGGTCCTTAAGTTTGTCCTTAACATAATTTTTCACCGAAGGACCAAAATAATTGATGGTGGACAATCTCAGAGACCACTTATATTGATTTAAAATCTCAGGGATCAAGGTAAGGAGTTATCAAATCTCAATGACCATTGTGGCCAAAAAACCTTTTTATTTTTTCAAATAAACGATATTTTTTTCACTAAATGGAGGAGGATGAATTTAGCCTCACAATAAGTTAACAATAATATGGTTCAAATTCGCCTTTGGCAAGAATATAACTTAAAATCTCTCACTTACAAATAAACAGAAATACAACTAGATTGTAATACAAAATACTAAATCTTTGTTTTGGATATTTATTTTGCCTCGTAAACAAGCAAAATTTTATCATTAAAAAAAAGTATGATATATTTACTCCATGAGATAATGTAATTATGTTAGGGGTATTTTGATGGTGAAGGAAAAATAGTACTGTGGGAAAAAGGAGAAGGTATTTGATACCTATTCATGTTGTGGCAATTTCGCATAATTAGATGCCCAACTGAGATTGAGTTAAATTACAATTGATGGTTGATATAGTAATTTGAAGTCTTACATTAAATTTTCAACTTTTTCAAACAAATTGTTATTTTCTTATTTAAATTGAGCTTTAAATGATTATAATTATTAAAAAAAATGTTGAAACAAAATTTTTATTGGTTAAAATGTTTAATGGAATAAGGGACCACCATTAAAATTAATTTTGACCTTGACGTCAAATTTGACTCATAATCACAAAGCCTTCAAATCTAGTTAGCAAATAACATTTCGGTTACATAGACTTTTGATGTCAAATATGTATAGTGATATTCTACCTAGGATTTGATATCTCATTTGCTCTTTAGCTTGCAATTGTACTTTTTTTTTTTCTTAATAACCATGAATGAAATTTTCTTACCAAATAAATCAAACTAAAATATAATTCAAGAGTACTTTTTTTTCATGAATATGAAATTAAGAAAAATCAAGCTAGAGGATTTAAAAAACATACCAAGTTGAGAAAAAGTTAAATAAAACTCTTTGAAACAAACCATGACTAATAATGTTATTTATATGTGCACATGAAAAGTCTAGATAATAAATTAGATACCACAAAAATTTTCGTACAACATTGGTAGTTGAAATTGGGGTAAGTCCTCATTTTGGAATCTGAAGTTGATGATAGATGTGACAACCCGTTCCAAATTTTACATTTTTAATTTATTTTAAAAGCGTGAGTTTACGAAATTGCCCTAGAGGCACGGACTTTGACTTCTGTTGACCATTGACTTGAGAGATGTGGGACTTATTCTTTTAGCATATCCTCGTAGTACTCATTGGTACGAACGTATAGGCGAAAACCGTTTGCGAGTCCGAATTATAACGGTATAGTTACGGACGTTCGAAATTGGTTATTCAAGGTGAGTGTTTATTTAAATTAATGGAAGCCCAATCAGAAAGAAAGAAAAAAAAAAAAAAAAAAAAAAAAAAAGGGAAAAGGCTTCCCGTGCACCCATACCCGCACCACCGCGAGGTCATATTCCAAGGCCGATTCCGGCCAACTCCGGTGGAGTTTTTCGATGCCACCACCACCATTTTGAAGCTCTCATTCCCCTCTACAAAACCCACCCAAGAACCACCTTGATTGACCACGGGATGTGGAGGTTTGAGGCCACGAAAGTTGACGAAAATCAATGGTGCTCCGGCCACCCTTCTCCATTTTCCGGCAAATCGGCAAAGCGATGGCCGATGCCACCACTTGGGCTTTGTAGCCCATCATCCCAGGAGCAAAACCCAACCAACCTTGACCCCGTTGGACCACCGTAGACGACGAATCGACGTCGGGAAGTTTTAGGCACCCGCCGGCTTCGTGGGCAAAATTGACCATCTTCCGTCCACTTTTGGACTTCGTGGCAGGTATGAAAGTTGCTCCACTCACTGAGATCTTCATTTCTGTGAAGTTTGATAATTTTTGGAATTAGTTGGATTTTCCGGCGAGTCGGGGCGGCCGACCGCCACCCGCGGCGGCGCGTGCGGCGGCGCGTGGCCGGTGAGCCGCCAATGCTATTTTTAGGCTATGTCGAATGTTTTGAATTCAGTTTTGTCATTTGAATGACGTAGGCTGATCGTTGGAACCTAAATTCGTTATAAAACGCTACTTGATAAAAATGTGAATCGATGATCCGACCGTTGGATCGTCACCAAAATTGGATACATTATAATACGTAATATTTAAAGATCATAGGAATTTACGGATCGGGAATCCGACTTACGGATCTTCCTGAATTGGATTTGTAAGTTAGTAAAATAAATGTTCACGGCCACTTGTTTTAGGCAATTGGCGAAGATCTGACCGTTGGATCGTAATGAAATTTTAAGATGTTATTCTAGAAACATATTGTGGATCATTGGAAGTTGCAGATTGGAAATCTGATATGCGGATCTTCCGGGTCAGGTTATACAGGGTTGTAAACCCTACCGTCGATCTTTGATCGACGGTTGACTTGTGGTCAATAGGTCTCAACCTATTTTAGAAAGTCGTCGAGGTTGTGTTTTATGTGAATTGCATATTCTTCAGATAAGAGTTCTGAGATGTGATTTGATAATTGGCCACAGGGACCGATCATTCAGGACGCCTCGATGCGCGTGCTAGAGTAGTATAGCGTGGACTCCAGGTGAGTGGATCTTTTCCTTTTTATTGTGCATATTATTGAGAGTTCTATCGACACCTTTAAATTGATTAGGCATATTACTTTCATATATAATTATTGTGAATGCTTGACGTACAATGTGAACTACGAATGGCTTGATCCCTGTTTAGGGTACGTAGGCAGTCTAACGAGACGTTAGATGCAGCCATAAAATATTTGAGACAAAAGCCTTGCTTGGGAAATTGAGTAATGCGAAGGAAATTGGTAAAGACAAGTTTTAGTTTTGTGAATTAGTTAGTTAAATTAGAGTTAATTGGATTGTTATGGATAAGTATCCCTGAAAATAAGTAGTTTGGGAGTATGGCGTTATTGATTGTACACTTCACACCATATTGTTTATAATTGAAAATGCTACGACATGGTTGAGTAGTAGATTGCATCATGATATATCCATATGTATATTACTTGCTTATAATTATTGGGAATGCTTTCAAGTGCA